TGTGTTTTCTCAATAGATTCTAATGAAAAATCGCATTTACACTTGGCAACAAAAGAAGAATATTTGTTGTATAACAAGATGTCTGTATTTATAGTAGTTGCGTTGGCACCTATTAATTTCCTCTGAAAGCAGTGCAAACCAGAAAACAACAAGGCCTTCTGCAGTTTTATAAAGATGTTAAATGATTTTCAACATAAAATGTAAACACAATAATTATATTGTTAAAGTGAGCTATTTTATATGTACAAAGATGAATCATGAGTCTTATCCCAAAAGAGATCTTTTGAAATTACAAAACAGCAAGTAAGACAGAAAATCACAGAAAAAAGAAAGCAGTTCTGTAAAAAACCAACCCAAAAAGCCCCTCTAAAATAGAAACTTCAGACAAATATGGAGTAATATTAGGTTAAATTATAGGTAGCTTATGTATTGTTTATTTTATATGCAGCACTGTGGAGTGCTTTTGTGAGACTGGATGAGGGCCAACAAACCGAGGCTTAATTCAGGCGAGACAGAGGTCCTCCTGGTCAGTCATGAGGCTGATCAGGGTATAGGATGGCAACCTGTGATCAATGGGGTTACACTCTCCCTGAGGACACAGGTCCACAGTCTGGGGGTTCTCCTGGATTCATTGCTGACACTTGTAGATCAGATGTTGGTGGTGGCCAGAAGGGCCTTCACACAGTTAAAATGTGTGCCAGCTGCAACCATACTTCAAAAAGCCTGACTTAGTCACAATGGTCCATGCCTTAGTTACATCCAGAATGGAGTACTGTAATGCAATCTATGTGTGGCTGCCTTTGAAGACAGCTCAGAAACTGCAGTTAGTGCAAAGGTCGGCAGCCAGATTACTAATGGGCTAGCTGCAGAGAGCATACTATGCCCCTATTACACACCAGCCCATGAATGACAGGCCCCCAATTCCTGGTTTAAGCTGAAATCCAAATAAGATCAAAGGATATTATGTACTTAGTTGTGCTTAGGATAGCAGTTAAAATCAGCAAGCCTTGCTAATTTAAATAGTCAGAGCCATTATTCAGCACTATACGCAAATCTTCAATCTTTAATAAAATCATTTACTCTTACATCTTTGAACTAGAAAAGAAAGTATGTTATTTCTGAGTAGAAAGTAAGACTGTCTTGAAAAGGATAAGTGCTCTTTTCTCTCCAGACTTCTATAGCTTCTTCCACTTCAAAATAATTTGTTTTATAAAGTCTCACTGATTTCTAAAAAGCTTTTGCTCCTAGGGCATGGAACTCGTTGCACACTGCTGGAAAGAGAAGGGTGGGAGGAGCAACATCATTCCCTGTGGCAATGGCTTTGTAATCAATAGGATTCTTGACAGGAATATAAATCTAACTTACACAGTGAACAGCTAAAGTTTGAAATTTTCATGGAAATCCTAACTTTAGTAATCACAGATTTATAGGCTTGCTGCTGAGATTGCACAATGCTCTGCCCAACAATTGCAAAAACAATTTATATCCTCAGCTACAGTTCACCAGTATCTGAGCCCATTTACTGTATATAGGCTCTTGAATGCAGCAGCAGTAATGCAAAACAGTTTATAAAAGAAAAATAGCCAGCACAGCCCCTTCATCACTTTGAATATGATTTGAATATGAGATGTACCTTTAGAAGAACATAGCACACATTATCAATCCATTAAATACAGTTTAATGCTATGAGTGCTTTGGTTTAAATTAATTAAGACTTCAGTCATATGCACGCTTTCTGGAAGAACATCATGACAGTGGCAGTAGGCAGATTTATGGGTGAGTGAGCAAAGAAAGGATTAAGCTCTATCACTCATATTAAACCTTACTAGCCATTAGTATTTTTTATCACCTAAACATATTTGTTCATAAATAAAGAATGCAGTTGTAATTAAAACTCTAATGGAATATTTTTATTTTAATATAGCCTCTGAGTACAGTTAACATTTTAAATGATTTTTTTCTTAATACTGATGGTGAGCCTTCTTGATATTTTGTCTCATAGTGGTGAACACATGCTTTTAACTCTGTACAGCAGAAGCTAAAAAAGGAAACCTTTTCTTTAGCTTGGATGTGGCTGTTGGTGCCAAAGCTTGGAATGAGTTGGGGGTTAGCTTCAGAATCCAATTTTGTTGGGAAAGTTTATTTCCATAACAAAGCTGTAGTCAAATCCCCTTTGTATTGGGCGTGACTTGGCTCCTGCCTTCCCTGCTCCAGGTGCTTGAATTTTCTATAGTTTAAGGAGATTTCTATGGAGATGCTAGACAAGTGGTTCCCAACCTTTTTTTGACCATTGACCACTTGACCAGGAACCACTCTCCAACATTAGTACCAAAAGTCTTTGGTCAACTTTAGATTGAATTTGGTTATTTGGAGTACTGATTCAGAAAATTGCATTGGATAGACCACATCATCTCTAGTTTCTGAAACAGAATATATGCCATACAGTAGCCACCATCTGCTCACCCACAGAAAGCCATATTTAATAAGCCCTAGTGCTATAAGAGGATTTTGTGAGACCAGTCACTCTCATTGCAACAGTACAGTAATGGTGATGCCACTGACCATATTTTAGTTCTTGCAGAGCACTGGTGGTCCATGGACCACAGGTTGGGAACCAGTGCACTAGACATTAGGCATTGTCTCAGCAGCATCTTGGGCAAAAGGCTGAATGGGCAATACATTTGCTATGAATCCTGATTGTGGTTTGAAAACATTACTTCCCATGGGAACATCTTTCTCTGTTGATGCTGATGTGCCTCTGATAAGTCCCCTGCACTCAAGAAATGCAAGCTCATCATTAAATTATGGTAGTTAAAACCAAGAAACCAAGGGACCATATTTTAAATACGGCTATTCCTGGAGAATAAGGCTATCAATGGCTACTGGAAATAACATCAATATATTAGCTCTAGTAACAGCAGAATTATGCTTATCAACACCACAAGTAGGAGATGTGATTGTGCTTATGCCCTACTCTGCAATTTCCCATTAGTGTTTGACTGGACAACTGTCAATACTGAACCACATGGGTGTAAAGCTTAATTCAGCACAGCTTTCCTTGTTCAAAGACTCAGCTGTGTTAGTCTGTATCAGTATGTAACCGATCTTGTAGCACCTTTGAGACGAGCTGAGAAAAAGAAGTTTATAGAATAAGGTTTTGTAGATGGCTGAAGTAGAACTAATCTAAAAGTTTATGCTATAAACGTTTTTCTCACAGACTTAAAGGTGCTACAAGATCCCATGGCATAGCATTTCTTACATTTTCAACACCAATCATAAGAGACCAGGACATTTTTTTTTTAAAAAAAGGAAGATAACATGTACAGATCTTAGTGTTTTAAAATATTGATTAGGGGAAATACTGAGAAAACCATAGGAAATCAAATACCAACAAGTGGAAATAGTTGTTAACTTTGATAAATAATCACAAATGTTGTTTTCCAATCAAACATACACTGACTAAATGTTTCAAACAGTCACAGTAAAAATGATACAATGCAAAATGAAGATAAAAGGGCAGGCAGAGCAAGAAGGCTTGTATATTATGACAACTACTACTATTATATCTGAGTCACATCAAGACCATTAAAAACTATGATGGGTAACTGTAAAAGTGTTCTTATGCATCCAATAAAGAGGCTTAGACTATATTATATTGTCGAAGGCTTTCATGGCCGGAATCCATGGGTTGTTGTAGGTTTTTCCGGGCTATATGCCATGTTCTGGAGGCATTTTCTCCTGACGTTTCGCCTGCATCTATGGCAAGCATCCTCAGAGGTAGTGAGGTCTGTTGGAACTGGGGAAATGGGTTTAACTCTAAAATTACAACAACAGAGAGGAAACAAACAAGAACATCTAATCACCTCAAGGTGATCAGCTGAAACATTCACAAGCCCCAGCAAACAAAAGTCCTTTGTCTCACCCTGTCATTCCACAGATATATAAACCCATTTTTCCCAGTTCCAACAGACCTCATTACCTCTGAGGATGCTTGCCATAGATGCAGGCGAAACGTCAGGAGAAAAATTGCCTCCAGAACATGGCCATATAGCCCGGAAAAACATACAACAACCCTTAGACTACATTGTTTCTTACAAGGCAATTACTGTTGCATATTTTTCAATTTGTGTTGGCAACAATGTCCATCACAAGAAGGCTTTTCCCATACCTTCTTCTTCTGCTGAAACAATACTATGACAAAAAGCATCACCACCTCAGTAAAGTATTAAGTATTGATTCATAGCATCATCACTGAATTATAGGAAGAGAACTTTACTGTTACAAAAATATACTATGCTTAGATATGAAATTTATAATCCATAGAATTATACATACATTTTTTAAAAAAAAAATAGAATATGTTATTAATAAATAACAAGACAATTGTAGTGGCAAGAAACATGTAAACATGTAAACATGTAAATATGTTACTGACTGAAGTTTTGACATCAATGAAGTCCCAACAATAATAATATTTTGCAACTCTCAAAACTGCAAGAAAACCCTCTCTTGCATCAGATACATTCTAAATACAATATAATGAAGTATTTTATTTACTTCCATTTTTAAACAGGAAGGCATTAAGGTCCAAAGAACTTCAGTTATAATGACCCAGCAACATCACACTTTCTATCATATGGGTCAGTCTACTAATTTCAATATCTACCTCAAAATGTTCCCAAAGTTTTAAAAAATTCTGAGTGTTTTATATAGAATAATTTAAATAGCAAACAATTCACATGATTCCACTAACAAATAAAATGAAAGTCCAGAATATACATTTTCCCCTACAGTGGTTTACAAGATCCATAAGTGTTAAAATGGCCATTGGTGCTTTGTTTTAAGAAAGACAATCGGTTGGGATTTCATACAAAATGACCTTCATCAGTAGTGAAAGCCTAAGGTTCTAGGGATCAAACCGCACCAAAAAAAATTAATTACATGAGTTCGTTAAACTATAAACTGATAAATAAATTCAAGACTTTATTATTTGTACTCACAGTTGACACTGGTCTCCTTTGATCCCTTTAGTTGTGCAGAAGCATTTTCCTGTTTGCATATGACATATATTTGCATGTCCACTGCACGTGCAAGCTATAGGAATAAAAAAAAAGACATAACAACACACTGTAATTAAGTACTCATGAGAAAACTGAATATAAATATTATCAAACATACATTGTCTCCTTTCTCAGTGGACAGAAATGCAGCCAGATTTCCATCTCTTCACTCTGGAGAGAAGGGGAACAAACACCTTTCTCAGTAGAGACTGATGAATAGCTCTGTGTAACTCGGCTTTCTGCCATATTTGGCACTTGGTCCTGTTTCATCCACAGAAGGAGTCTCGATCTACACCTAAAACCTCATAATACAGTACACAGCCTTTATATAACTGACAAATATATGTATTGACAATCTTTTGACCCAAATAACTGAGGGCTTGTTATTAACTAGTGCAGGTTATACCCCCGCCCCCCGTCACAATGGTTCTGCTGGCCAACAGTATGATTCCAGACTCACCTCAACATGCTAGTTATGATTTTGATAGCTCGACTCAAGGCTATCTGATAAACCTACATGAGACTGCCTGGGTCCCAAGATCTTTGGGAGTGTCCCTTCACAGACATGTCTGGTGAAAACATTCTTGGCCCCAGACGCTTCAGGACTCCTTCACTAGAGAGGCTAGGATAGCTCCCTCTTTACTGTCCTTCTACAAGGAAGTGAAAAACCTTTCTTCGAGATTTTTTTTAAAAAAGGATTGCAAGGGCTTTAAATATTTTGCCATTTTATTGAATGGCATGATTTTCATGGATTTGATGAATGGATTTATTTTAAAAGATTTTAATTCCATGGCATTTTAACAATAACTTTTCCTCCTAAGGTTATACTTACATCATTATATGTGCTTTTGGCTTGAGGCCCAGTTTTAGGGAGGAAATGAGATATGAATGAATTAATAATGAATTATGGAACCATCATGGTGTAGTGATTGAAATGGTAACTAGGATTCTGGGAAATCAAAGTTTTCATCCCATTTGGCCACTAGGAGACCTTGGGCAAGTCATACTCTCTCACCTTTCAAAGAAGGCAATGGCAACCCTCTCTGAACAAATCTTGCCAAGAAAACCCTGTGATAAGTTTGTCTTAGGGTTGCAATACATTAGAAACAATGTAAATGCATATAACTATAATTACTGCTTGTAGTAGTAGTACTATTATTATTTTAACAATAAGAAGTTATTGCAATACATTCAAAATGGTCATAATCCACTGTCTAGACACAGACTTTTTATCGTCTTATTGAAACTGAACTGTATACAGAATAATGCTTATTTTATTGAACAGGACAATATGTCTAGTAGTCTGAGTAGCCATCTGTTTCAAACATACATACTTTGTTAACAGTCAAACATGCAAAAATTGGAAGTAAAGAAACACTGAAAGTTAGGTAGAAGACTGCAATTAAAAGATTGCCTACCTAGAACTTTCACCTCTGAGAATGTTCAAGAATATAGAATTTACAGGTGTGGAAGAGAATTTATGCAGCTTTGCAATCTTTTTGAAAGCATGTTATCACTCATGCATATAAGCAATAAAATAAAGATCTGTATTTGGACAAATAAGAGTGAAAGCACTCCCGACCCATCACTTTTATCAACAAAGTGCTCTAGAAGCCTTTTGGTGAGGTATTTACATAATACACTAAATAAATAAATATTTAAAGTTATTTCAATAATAAAATGGAATTAAAGACACAGCAGGATACAAATAACCTAAGGAAAGAAAGATTGTCAAGGCTCATATGAAGGATACTGACCTCCATTATGCAGAAAGAAAATGTCCTTTATTAATGGTTTGAGGAAGTGTTTTCATAGCTTTGAACCATTATGGTTTCACGGCTTATCTACAATTTTACTTTAATCAATGCTAATTACAAGGCACATTCCACAACACCAGTTTAAAGAATTCAGGATGATGATATCCGTGACCCATTTCTACATGAAGTATGTTGCTAAATCATTGACTGAGCTCATTTATATGGAAATGTTCAGGACCTGGCTAGAACAGGTAATGACTGAAAGCATGTATCTGATAAAAATTACCTGTAAGTAATATAAGTATCATTATTAGATTCCATTATATTATGCATGATCTGAAAAATCCTTCACCATCTCCAGTTCTTTCAAGATCAAGCCAGTCACTTCAAGGATAGCAACCATCCATCTTGCCTTTGGTCAGCCCCTCTTCCTTTTTCTTTCCATTTTCCCCAGCATCCTTGTCTTCTCCAAGCTATCCTGTCTTCTCATTATGTGGCCAAGGTATTTCATCTTTGGGTTGTTGTGACTTTTCCGGGCTATATGGCCAATGTTCCAGAAGCATCCTCTCCTGATGTTTCACTCAAATCTATGGCAGACATCCTCAGAGGTTGAGGGGTCATACCTTTCATATCCTTCCCTCCAGTGAACAGTCAGTCATTATTTCCTGGAGTATGGATTGGTTTGATCTTCTTGAGGTCCAAGGTACTCTCAAAATTTTCCTCCATCTTCCTTTGCTCAGCCTTCCTTATGGTCCAGCTCTTGCATCCATAGGTTACAATGGGGAACACCATTGTTTTAACTATGCAGATTTTTGTTGCCAGTATGATGCCTCTACTCTTAACTACTCTATCAAGATTGGTGATTGTTCCCCTCCCAAGAAGTAAATGTCCTCTAATTTCCTGGCTGCAGTCTGCCAGGTATCATGCTTAGAAATACAAAGTCTGTCACTATCTTCAAGTTTTCTCTATTTGCCAGTTATCAATCAGTCTGGTTTATATGTTTAGTAAGTTTAATATCAATCATAAACTCAGATGGTTTTGATAACAGATTATGAAACTGTCTTTCCAAACATGCACTGATTTCTCCATTAGACAGAGCAGAAATAGATCTGAAGCTTGCAAGTATTTTTCAGTAGTCATTACATTTCAGACAAATATATCAGGGATATATTTGTCTGAAATGTTAGATTTATGGCTCAATGCATTGCTATTACAATAATCAGATGTAATAATCATGTACCTACATCTGAAAGGGTGTAGGTGAATGAAAGGGTTTTTTATAAATGCAAAATCCATTTTCTGATTGAATAATCAAGGGGCTTCTAATGAATGAATGAGCCCAGGAATGGGCAACTCAGTTTCTCCTGATCTTTTTGGACTAGAACTCCCCCCAAGTTCAGTCAGCATGGTGAATTATCGGAAATGATGAAATTCACAATGCAACAAAATCTACTAGAAGAAACAGGCTTTGTGTGAGAGGAAAGCCATGTCAAATTGTGCAAAGTATGACATGATTTCTATCAACTCTACTCTCCCTTCACAGCCTACTAGACCACTGCCTATACTATCCCTAAGGCAGGGGTCCTCAAACTTTTTAAACAGAGGGCCAGGTCACAGTCCCTCAAACTGTTGGAGGGCCGTATTATAATTTGAAAATGAATGAATTCCTATGCACACTGCACACATCTTATTTGTAGTGGAAAAAACACTTTAAAACAATATAGTAATTAAAATGAAGAACAATTCTAACAAATATAAACTTATTAGTATTTCAAAGGGAAGTGTGGGCCTGGTTTTGGCTGATGAGATATGATTGCTGTTGTTGTTGTGGTGGTGTGCTTTCAAGTTATTTCAGACTTAGGTTGATCCTGAGCGAGGGCTGGGTAAATGACCTTGGAGGGCCGCATCCAGCCCCCGGGCCTTAGTTTGAGGACCCCTGCCCTAAGGTTTCATGGTAAATGTAGGATGATATTGCCTCATTCTGGCAACAGAAAAATACTTATGGTTCTCTGGCTGTCCTGCAACTCAGGCCCCATCGACACTGTTATATAATGCAGTTTCAGAATGCAGTTTAACTGCATTGAACTGGATTATATGAGTCTACACTGCCATATGTTGCAAGTTAAACTGCATTCTGAAACTGCATTATATGGCAATGTTGATGGGGCCTCAGTATGATTAAAGAAAGGCGCTCAGCAAAAACTGTGCAGAGACAGACTAAATTTAATAGCTAGCAGAATGCCCTTCTATATCACAGTACAGTAACCTTAAGCAATATCTAAAAATACTGGTTTAAAGAAAACATTTTGACTTAGACACAGAAGCTACTCTTTTCCTAGGACATATGAGTTGTACCAAAATCTAACTAAACAGCTTCATTGGTCAGGGTATGTTAGTTGATCAAAGGATCTAGTAGATTTATTTCTTCACTTGTTTAAACTCTTGTCCCTGTCTACTGCAATTTCAAAAGAAGGATACCAGTAATCAGAGAAGTGCACTTATGCTGATTGGGAATGAACAATACAGAGTAGCAAATAATTGCTGTGCAGATTTAATATACTGATTTGCATTTCTCTCTCTGCTAAAGCATCTCCGGAACAAAGAGTCAAAAGGGATATTCCTTCTACTTTTCCAAAGATGAGAGGAAAAACTACTAAGATCAATCAAATCCTACTGACAGTCCTAACACCTGATTTTATAAATGAAACTACATAACAGTACCTTTCACATTGTCACTATATCAGATTTATATCATCTCTTGGTAATTTTAAACACTATTTGTTAGTCATTAACTCAACAATCTAACAGTATATTTTGGGTAGACAAGGCTCCAAATCTTCTGAAATGAATATATGTTGAATCTTTAAACAACATGCATATTTCTGCCAGTTTCGCTAATAAAAAGAATGTAAAAAAAATAAATAAAAAGCAGGTAAATCAAATACAACAAAAGCCTTTCAGATGTTATCAGTATAAATATTCTCGTATGTTGACCTAGAACTGCATGAGCAACAATGACATGTTTTTACAGAAATTTTAGTGAGAAACATATATTACACTTCATTACGCCTGCAAGTTGTGTTTATTTTTTCCACTTGTCTGCCCTTGAAAAATGTACAAGACATAATGAGCTTTTAATATACACAGTGCATACCATTTAACTTACCACATTAAAGCTTAGCTGCTAAATTTTATAGCAGATGACTACAAAACAACAAAATAAATTTATCATGGTCCAACATAGCCGACTGGCCAGTCTGTACATGTTGTTTACCAT